CGGCACCCCAGCACGCCTGGGTTTAATCCCAGTCGGCGCCGCCGGGATGTTCTGAGGCATAACATCTCTGATCACGCCTTCCTTTGGTCCCCGGTTCATGAGTTGATGGGTCGATAGGCAGGGTCCAGGTGTGGGAGCTCTCGATGAAATATGACTAATGGTACTCAATACGACAACCATAGAGCCATATCCAGTCGACAAAATACACTGGAACCTCCATTTATGAACCAAACCGGAGGTTCTTAAATCGAATTAGTACGTAAAAAAACTCGTTGTTTGGGATTTGCTTCATAAAAAAAAAGATTTTTGTAAATATTGTCAAATACCCCACAATATTGATATTTTTGGAATTGAAGTGACATGCATGAACCGGACACGCGTGATGTTGGAGCAAAATATCATGCTTTAAATTGATTTTACAAGCTCCTTTGTTATTGCGAGACTATTCACAACGTGTAAAGTTGAATCTGAGAGTTGAATCGTAACCAGGGCTGGCAAATGTTATTTTCAATGAAAGATCTCACGCGATATTTGCAGCAGTGTTGGAAAAATATCAAAAAATCAAAACTCACCAGTGCCCAAGATCACGCTTGATTTTCGTAGACAGACATCAACAAGCAAACATCTGCGGCTGATTTTGCAAGCTGTGATATTGCAGCTCGGTATATCAAGCTAACAAAACTCACCAACTGCAAATCTCACCAAACTGTGGTGAGATTGAGTTTAATGATTTTTGCTTTACACCCGAATGCAACCGAATCTTCCATAACGGCTGGCAGCAGTCCCTTCGTGTCTGCCATCGGTGAAGATTAAAAAGAGATAGCAAGCTATATTTTCTCTTTCCAAGAAAACGATGTGGAGCGGAATCATTTCTGTGTCGAGTCAGCTCTCAGCTTGATTTTTGCGCGTTGTGAATAGTCTCGCAATATCAAAGGAGCTTGTAGAATCAATATCGTGATGTTGAGAGCGTAAGAGATCGGAAAAATATTATTTAATTGATGATTGTGCCAACACTGATTTACAGAGATACTTCTGTCACTATCGTCGAATGAGAAAACGATGATGGAGATTTTCTTCAAAATCTCATCGAATTTTTTGTCATGAAAGAACGTGACAGTGTTGTGATCATCGTTATTACTAGCTCGTTTAGTGCTATTAAAGTTACTTGTTCCGAGAAAGCCTTAATAATATATTCACTCTACCGATTACCGTTGCTTGTAATTCATCAAAATCAGTTAGAAATGTTGATGTCGAAACCGATTATTGAAAAAATGACAAGAAAGCTAATGATAAGTTTCGTTTCGTGATAGTGAGAGGACCTGTTTTCTCATTGTCACATGACGGTCGTGATGTTTACCAGTTCTGATTGTAACAAAAATGATTTCGTTGCACCTCGTTTTCTTAGAAAGAGAAGGTATAACCATGTTATCTCTTTTTTTTTGTCTTTTCTTCACCGATGCCTGCCATTATGGAAGCTTCGGTTGCGTTCGGGTGTTAAGCAAAAATCATGAAACTCAATCTCACCACAGTTTGGTGAGATTTGCAGCTGGTGAGGTTTTGTTAGCTTGATACTTCGAGCTGCGGTATCACAGCTTACTACATCAACCGCAGTTGTTTGCTAGTTGATTTTAGTCAACGACAATCAAGCGTGATCTGTTCGGTAAGATTTGATTTTTTTTTCCCAATACTGCTTGTTTGATACTATGTTCACTTATTATTAATTTAACCAAGGCAATTGTTGACGCACATTCAAACGTTTGTTGTGTCTGTGCCTTAAATCTTGGTCTGTTCTTGACGGATGCACTTCAGTAACGGAAAACACGGACTAATTACACTATTCGGGAAGGTTTTATTCGACGAAACACGGGATACAGAACATTAATCTTTGATCAATTGGGAGCGAACCCGGCGTAGTGGTTAGCATCCATACCTCTCACGCCAAAGTCACGAGTTCAAATCTCACCCCGGACAAGTCACGAATGACCCAAGAGCGTTAAATTCACTATAATAAATAAAAAAAAATGTTTGATCAGTTTGCAGATACGTATACCTATAATTAGGACGGCTACAGCACGGATTACCTAAGAATACAGCCTTAAGACTAATAGCTTTTGTCTATGGGCTGGAATGCTAAACAGTCTGGGACAGTATTGTCCTTTTATAGTCTATTGAGACTGTTATAATTGAGCGGTAAATCCAGAGGTAAAGCCGAACCGTAAGAAAATGGCTATTAGTCAGCCGTTTAAGGGGAAGGGAGGAGCCAAGAATCCCAAAAAACTGCCGACGTAGTTATTGAAGAGACCTTAATACGAAACGTGGAAAAGCTATTTATGGAAAAGACATGGATCACTTTTTCCGGGAAATAATTGTTAAGCAAACTACAATGACACGGTAGATGTATCTCTTAGCGGAAGTGAATGATCACTGAGATTATTTCTAATATAGTAGTTTGCGCCTCTCAATGCATCTCAAAAATAATTACAGTGAATATTCACTTCCCCTAAGAGATACACGTACCGTTTCAACTTGCCCCGGTGTACCTTAACTATCATGCTTACTCTCAAAACATTGAACAGGTGGAGTACCTGTATACGAGCTTTTGCTCTGACTTTGAAATTGAATAACTGAATCCTCCTAATTTTCAATTAATGTTGTATTAAGCACCTACTTATTGGAAACCAAACGTTGAATTTGGGAAAGTCACAGTATTCTATTTTGCATCATTCTACAACACGCTTTAAAGTACATAAGGGGCTGTTCACATATGAACCGGGGACCAACGGCTTTAGTTCCTTGTTGCGTTATCATAAAATGCAACATTCACTCTCTTCTCTGCTTCAGAGACCTTATTTGAAAGTAATGATGGAGCTACTGAAAAAATTAACGTATTTTTTGGTAATTGATTTATCCCACAACATCCATGGCGTTTTTTGTACTATACTGAAGTGCAAATCAACCAAAAATATGTGACGAAATGGTGTCAGTTTTTATTGTAGTCGATGTGGATATCGAATTTAGTGCACATTGATCACATTGATCAACCGAAGGTAGTTATGTAAGGGAAATTCTGTCAATTGTTAATCATTACATTAAATTTAAATGCATTATCTCATGCCTAAGATGAACGGTGGTCTGATCTATCGCAAGTTTTGAACCATAACCGAAACATTGAAATACTTGTAAAAGTTAAGATAGAGTATAATAATCAAAAATGCATGGCAAACATAAATTTTGCGTAGTTCTACATCAAACTACGGTCGTGTATAGGACACAACGCTATATTTTTTTCGTCGATTTAATAGTTGATTTTGACAGTAAATTTCATAGGCGGTAAAATTTCGTGGTCAATAACTTTAAGATCGTACTTTGATTCCTACTCAATAAACTACTCATCAGCTCAAAGTTGTTGTTTGGTTCATAATATCTGCAATTTCATTCTTTATTTGAGATTTGTTTGTGCTTCGTTCATGATTGAGAAGAAAATTTTAAACTCTTGGGTGAAAAGTTTTTTGACGGGTTGTGAGATAATTTAGTTTTAAGTCTGATTTTAATGGATTACTAAAAACTTGCTTCAAGATATATAAAAATTTAATTTAGTTACTTGGGCTGATAAAGCACATATAAGTAGCTTGCATGCACAATTGCAATTCAGATCTAATCTGTCCTACAAACAATGGCCATGACCCACTGAACAACTTTGCTCAAGACAGTCATTACCTATACGGCCATGATCACACACTGAATTCAGATCACCGAAGTCGATATAATTTGAACAAATGAAAAAAAAATCGGCAAAAATTCAAATGACCATTACACGTTAGAAATCAATAAAACCGACAATTTTTTTATCATTATATGGGGTTAACTGAACGAAGTGTGTACAAGAACGGAATAAATTTTCTAAATTTTGCTTTTCCAATCATGCTTAAACTTTAACCAATAATCTCCGCAGTTCAAAAATTACCGATCAGTGATGGCCTGGATTACTGCGTGCGATATTCTATATTGCAATGAATTAACCCAAATTACACATACTACGCTAATACATAACCACCCACCGCTTCAATTATGCAAACCCCACCTGCCAACTTCACGCAGTGTTCCCAAATAAACAGATGCAAAATCATGCGAATTAAATTAGCGTGATATCCGAATTGAATTACTTTGAAGTTTACTAAGTTCAGCAAAAATTATCAGGATTAGTTGGTTGTAAATTATTTCTAACATGAAGCTTTAGTGTGATAATTTATTAACTAGAGAAAGGTCTGAAGAGAGTTGGTTGATAGTTCCGCTACAGTACGGCAGCATGAAAATTAAATAGGAGTTGAAAATGAGTGCAGGGCCATTAATGCGACAGTACTAGTCGAATCTCCTCATCCATTGTACCAGTTAGGTAAAGAAGTGTGCGTTTGACAAGTACTGTCGCATTAATGGTTCTTTGCTCATTTTCAACTTCAATCCAATTTTCATACTGCCGTACTCTTGCGGAACTATCTACCAACCCTCTTCAGACCTTTCTCTAGTTAATAAATTATCACACTAAAGCTTCATGTTAGATAGCATTTACAACCAACTCTGAAAATCGTAAACTTCACGTATGAAGTAACATTAAAAAACTTTGACTGCATCAGGAATAGTTGTTCTATACGCTCCGAAAATCACTCAAAGATTATCAGGAGATGTTTTTGTACTATTTATCACCTTTTGTGACTATATGCAATTTTGCGTATTTTGGGACAGAGCGTCATTTTGATACAGTTTCAGCTGCTTAAAACCCCTTTTGACGGGCTTCTGCATTCAATATAAACCAACTTAAAGTGAGTAGTAGAGGACATCAAGTCAAACAACTTTCTCAAAAAACATTATTTCTAATGCTTATTTCTAATAAAGTAACCCTCATCGTCATTAAATTTTTGTTAACTTTTAAAGTATTTTTTTTTTTTTCAAAATAAGAACACATATAATGCATTTACAGTTTATTTATTTCACTACCCATAAAGTAAACGCAGCTCGTTTGGAATGTTGTGGCGCCCAGGAGAGCGGGAAAACATGAGCCACAAGGCGGATCAGGCAGAACAGGACGGGTACGAGTAGATACTTTAGGGACATCGTATCAGATGTAGTTGCTCGACGCTTACGCTTTCGCTTTTGCTCCCTGGTAAACCGTCTCGATCGATTACCCGTAAATTTGATCGAAAATTATCGGTTTTAGTGGCATAGTTTTTGGCTGGATCACTGTGGATTGAAAATTACGTATTACCTTCGTTGAAGCTGTAAATTTTAAGCAGTAGTTTGGTATCGTTTCTTAAATTCGGAAGATTCGTCTTTGGATTTTCCTAGATTGACCCTGAAAGTCCCCCGGACTTGTGTATTGTATTTAATAAGTTATTTCTTTTCAAAAAATTCACAACCACAAACACCGACTCTCTCAAAAAACGAACATGACAATTTATTAACCTAACCACAGTATCTATACTTATCATAAAAGTTATGTTTTTAGCATGATATTGATATGCACTTTGTTTTGTTATATGGTTTTCTAAACCTATTAAATATAATTTGTTTAAACATGTAAGGGAATTGTTATTAAGGTTATATTGGTTTATATTTGCAACATCCCCAACGTCTGATAAATGTGGATCGCAAAAGTTCATTAATTTTCAAGCAATCATGAGGCCAATGTTTTCAGGATGAAATGCTACGCCAGATTAAGCTGTAAAATGACCATCAACAGCTTGTTTAGTAATGTACTTCACCACTACCACGCTACCACATGGAGGGTCACTCCACCAAGCAAACCCCCAGACTAACGAGCCGGGCATAAAGATAAAAAAAAAACTCATTCAAATCCGTTCCTTTCCCACCTCGTCTACCAACCGAACCCCAATCAATTGAATCTATTTTTAAAATCACATCATCCTCATAAAATGTTGTGTATATACACGTTAGGTTTAGCTCGGCATCGACTCGAACTTTGGTGGGCCCCACGACGTCGTTGGTGTCCCGTTCCAGTAGCAACGACCTAGCCGCCGAGACGGGTAGCCTTCGCCCGTTGCAACATCCGAGCTATCACTCTATCCGGACGCTGACCGCCGGGTCCAGCTCTTCGACGACAACGACGAGCCGGTGCTACCAATCGATCGATCGTAGTTTCAGCTTTAACGAGGCTGACCAACGACGGGCTTCGGTTCGCTGGAATGAGGCCTCCATTTCACGTCAATCGTCAACCGCTTCGCACCACGGGGGGATGCCCCGGCGGCCCCGACGAAGATTCTCGCTTCGCGACCCCACCGAGGACGACGACGAAGACATTAATGAGATCAATCAATTATCCTCCGTCGATAGCGACCGTGGCAGCGCGACGCACGAATTGGGCGGTGGACAACTTCTGCAGCAAACGATTTCCGGCGGACCGACCCAGGGTGCCCAGAGCTGGAAGAAGCTGCGGGCCGTGATGGCGTACTACTGCTCGCTACGAAAAATCAAGAGGAATGGTTCCAAAGTTATTTATTATACGTTATTATTTTCCATGTATTCTTTTTCGGTCCTTTTCTATATCTATACTTTTTTCTATCCTCTGCAAAACCAAAGTTTTACCTTTTCACGAAACGGGATGGACAGTTGAGGGAACGTACTTGAACCAGTAAGATTGATTGAATCGGTTCAAGCATTTTCCCTCAATTGCCACTCCGGAAAAAAAGTCGAAAGAAAATCAGAAAAAGAATGTTCCTAATATTGTTTTTTGATCATTTTCTCGTCTTGCTCTCTAATCTAATGTCGTGTACCACTACTTTGTGACATTGCAATGAAAGTAACGTTCGTCCTGTACTAACTAATGCATTCTCAGTCTCACTTACACCCAACATAGGAACTCACTTTCACTCACACACGCACACAAGATTGTATTTTCTTCTTCAATCCATTTTGTGCTCGCCGTAGCAACAGATCCAGAAATTTGCTCGCCTTCCGATTGAATCGATTGGTTACAGAGTTATCCACCGTCATCGACATCACCCCACTTACACGCCAACAACAGTTACACACTAGAGTAGCACTTTGCCGTTTCAGCTATTCCTCTTCTGATAACTTTTCGAACTTTGCTACTGTTTTTTTTCTTAACTAGAAACTAACATCTCTCTCAAACATCTACTAATACTAACTCGATATGTTCAATTTTCAAAATACAATGTAATCACATCGGTGGTGGCTCGTTTATTCGTTTTGTGCCGTTTTTTATGAATGCTGACAATGTTTGATTGCTGATGATCTGTTAACTGTTCTCCGTCGTCGCCCGTCGTCGTATTCGTGTAACTTTCTCTTGGTTCGTTTGTTTTTCAGCAATGTACTGTTGACTGTGATAATATGAATAGGAGAACACGCGTGAAATGAAGAATTGAAATTTCAAATAGAGCGACATTTGATCAAAAACATTCTGCCAAATAGAAATTGGGTCAATATCAACAGTGCTTTTTCAAATATTCTAGAAAAACTACTATTATAACAACGTCACACCTGTAATATCCTTCATTTACACATCTCTCTCTAAGCCCAACATGTCGCTAATACGTTGTTCAACAAAGAAACCATAAACACCTTCATTTTCACATTCTAAAATGGCTCCGTAGTAGCAAACTTGATGCACAGTGGACGTGGTAAGCTTTGAGTGACTTTTTAGGATCAAAATCAAAAGGATGCAACTTTTATGTCGATAGAAGTGTACTACTTGGACTGTCAATCATCTAAAGAAATTTCCTCATTTATAATGTTTAGATAACACGTGCAGTGATGTTATATGACTATTTAACTCTAGGATTCCTAAAATTATCTTATCACATAAAAAAATGGGCTCACATGATTACATGATGTAGTGAGTAGCGACTGTTCGCGACGATAATAAGTGTATTTATTCTATACACTGTTTACCGGAGAGATGAAGCGGACATTGACTCTCGGACGCACATCAAAACAAATCTATTTTATCGAAACTCTTTTGACGTAGACTACGTCTTATGGGAAGGTACTAAGGGTAAATCGAAAATCTAAAATTGCGACCGTCACGAAAAGATGTAATTTTTTAAACGCTATAAGCTTTGTCATTTATAGATTAAATGAAATACCTTTCGTAAGCTATTGCAATAAATTTTTTTTTTCAATTAAAAAAAAAACTGTTTTAAAAACGGACAGATAAAAAGTGATAATTTTATCACTGTTTTTATGAAATAAACGGTCTCCCCAAACTCAGTCCTCATAATCAAGTACAATTTGGTTGCACATCGTGCTGCTTGAATCAGAAAAGTTCGAGGGGCACGCAATAACCTTTAACTCCTACGCAAGCCTTTTTTAAGTACAATAATTACAGTTAACTACATCATTAATTACTTTAATTACGGGCGTCGGAAATGTTTTGATTTAATTACTTTTAAGTACAAATTTCAGTTTTAATTACAAGTCGCATAAATTAAGTACATTAACTCCATTAATGTACAACGAGAAATGTACTTAAATTTCCCCCAGCGTACCGTTAGACCCTTTCGTTATTGGCCCGTGAAACAAAAATTTCACAGGCCCTTTTGCTACGTTAAGGATAATGTCAGCTCTGATAAATTGTATCGCTACCGTTGTTATGACTTCATAATAGACCCTATAAACATACATCTCCTGGGACCTACGAGGAAATCTACGTTGGTGATTGGTGCCAATTCACATGCAACGATCGGTTCGTGATTGGAAATGTAGTCGGATTTCAATACTGCCGAGGTGTTGGCAGGGCAATGAACTATATCCTGGATCACGCCCCTGTCAAAGCACCTGAGAATACGACAATGAAAGGAATGTTTTTTTGTGCTACCTGGTTCAACCTAAGAAATAACGAATTTAATTTGGTGGATGCGAACGAAAACAGAATTACAGTTATATCGGTTCCCGTTGGGGTCACTTTTGGTCGGCATTCTGCTTTATTGTTCTGTAATAAGTATACACACGATGAACATCATGTTTTTTTCTCTCAAACGATGTAATTGGACCAGTGGCAGCTATTTCGATGGTTCACAATCACATTGGGCATCCCGGAAATGTTCCGGTGCCCCGGGGAAGTGGCCAATTCTCAACAAGAACCAAAACCCATCATGCGACATATCAAACTTCATGATTTTACAAATCTTCGGCAGTAATGGTCTTATTGAGAGTCCATGGTCACACTAGCCCTCCCAGACATGTTCCGGTGCCCCCGGAGAAGTGGCCAATTCTCAACAAGAACGAAACCCATCGTGCGACATATCAAACTTCATGATTTTACAAATCTTGGCCAGTAATGGCCTTATTGAAAATCCATGGTCCCACTAGCCCTTCCGGGAATGTTCCGGTGCTCCCGGGGAAGTGGGCAATTCTTAACAAGAACGAAACCCATCGTGCGACATATCAAACTTCATGATTTTACAAATCTTGGCCAGTAATGGCCTTATTGAGAGTCCATGGTCACACTAGCCCTTCCGGGAATGTTCCGGTGCCCCCGGGGAAGTGGCCAATTCTCAACAAGAACGAAACCCATCGTGCGACATATCAAACTTCATGATTTTACAAATCTTCGGCAGTAATGGTCTTATTGAGAGTCCATGGTCACACTAGCCCTCCCAGACATGTTCCGGTGCCCCCGGAGAAGTGGCCAATTCTCAACAAGAACCAAAAACCCATCGTGTGACATATCAAAATTCATGATTTTCAAAACTTTGGCTGGTAATGGCCTTAATGAGACTCGACGGTCACACTAGCCCTCTCGGGCATGTTCCTGTGTCCCCGGGCAAACTTCAAACTTCATGATTCTGCACGGCTAATAATGGTCTTAGACAGTCCACAGTCCCATTTAATTATTTAATTGTCCCCCCCCCCTCCCCCGGGTAGATATCCAACTCCCAATAAGAACCAGAACCCCTCGTGTGACATATCAAACTTCATTATTTTACGAAAATCCGTCGGTAATGACCATATTAAGAGTTCAAATTATTTCAGTTTCCAACTCTAGCATGGTGCTCCAAGAAATTTAGTATAAGTATTCGCAAAATTGGTCATGTTTGTAGTCTAGTAAAAC